TTAAGTGTCGTGAGAATTTTTTGTACTTGCGTCCACCGTTCTTGTTTTCGCAATATTACCAGGGGGACTTGTTAGGTTTTGTCTGTCTGTTTTTGTTTGTTTTGTGGGGTGTTTTGTAGGGCACTTGTGGAGGGTTTAGGTGTCGAGGGGCGCGTGTTTGGTGTTTGTGGTCGTGTTTTGTTTGTTTTGTCTGATTTTTTATGTCTGGGGGCTTCGTCCTCGCTAGAGGATTCCGCCGTGTGTTTTTTGCGTTTCACTGTGCGTGTGTGTGTGGCGTAGGTTTTCCGCCCATTGTGGGGATATGGGCACTAATGGTGCTATACTTATGGGGACTAACAGGATTGTGTGGACTTACACAAGTCCCCACAATTTAAAACCTATCTAAACATAATCTACGAGGTCCCTTTTATATAAAAATAACTTCTAAAAATGTCCCCTCAATCATAATTTTGCTACATGCAAAATTTTTTGTGGTAGTCTTGCCCAATTTATGTGGACAGTGTGTGCACTTCTGAGTGTCTGCTGTGCAGCGCCCTCATCGACACAGCGCGGAGTTATTGAACTACAATATGCGGCGTTGCCACATACTACTTGCCGAGATTTATGTTTTAAAATACGATTATGGGATACTTATCTACTTGGAGCATGATATGTGTGTAACGTTGCAATTTCTTATTGTGAGGTCTCAATGATATTCTTAAAAATATATAGGTATATGAAATGTGTCATTGTACCTATAACACTGGCTTTCAGAAAACAGTAGTTATTAAGAGATGCAGAAAAAGTTAGATAAAACCAATCTTAAATACGCCAGAGTGAGGTGATAAGAATAATTTATCTGTTATATGTTTTGATTTGGTTACTACATAATTAATAATAATACAATTATACAGGGTGATTTTGAAAGTGGGGTAGTAATTTTAGTATGCGCCTACTTATTTCAAGAACAAGTGTTATACAAAAAATAGAAGAATAAAATAAAAAATCAGAAATAACTCACCTATTTTCGCATTTTTAAATTATGTAATCCGGTCCTGTACACTCATAGCAAATGTTCAAAATTATTTCCGTTTTCCTGTAAACAAAACCTAGCCCGGCGGACCCATGATTCAGTGCAAGAAGTTAACAGCCCATCATGTTGGCGGATTGTTTCGGCAGCGTTTTCTATCTTTATTCGTAATTCTTCAACACTGGCGACTTCAGGGCCATCATACACTAACATTTTCATGTGTCCCCATAGGTAAAAATCACAAGGATTTAAGTCCGAAGCACGTGGAGGCCATAGAATTGGTCCATTACGTCCGACCCATCTGGCATTAAAACATTGTTTAAATGATCACGTACTTCACGCCGAAAATGAGGCGGAGCGCCATCGTGTAAATATTTTGACGAACTGTAACGGAATTTCTTCAAGTAATTCGGGTAAATTATTCTGTAAGAAATGCAGATAATCTAAACCAGTTAGCCGATCCGGTAAAATGACAGGTCCAACAAGCTTTCCGTGTAGAATTCCTGCCCCCACATTTAAGGAAAATCTTTGCTGGAAGTTTGTTCGTCGAATTTCATGGGGATTTTCTACAGCCCATAAATGTGTATTATGGAAGTTATTTATCCCATTTCTAGTAAAAGTCGCTTCATCCGTTACCAAGATACGACTCGTAAAATTTTCGCTAGCATTGTTTTGTTGCAGTAACCATTCACAAAATTGAACTCTCTTAGGGTGATCCTCGGGTAGTAATGCGTGCACACGTTGTATGTGGAACGGATAAAGTTGATTTTCTCGTAAAGTTTGCCATACTTTGCTTTGGGATACATTTACCTGGTGTGAAATTTTTCTCGTACTCGTTGTGGGGTTCTCCTCAACGATATCCAAAATCTCTTCTTCAGCCTGCATCATTCGCAAAGGACGAGCTCGTCCAGCGTGATTTCCACGGTTTTCTTGCAGTTTGCCTGTATCCCGGGCTCGTTGTGTTAAATAAACAAATCGTCTTGCAGAGGGATGAAACCTACGAGGAAATTTCTGTGCATAGCGTCGAGCAGCATGCGCCGAATTTTGATTACACTCTCCGTACACTAACAACATATCCACAAGTTCATTATTACTAT